TATTAACAATTATGTAATACATTTGCTATACTTTTTGCATTAACAAATTATATATTAACTATTAGTCAAAAAAGAAAAAAAGGTATTTAATAAAAACGGGTACTTATTTCAATAAATATATAAGTTACTTCAAATTATCCATGATTCTATATTGTAACTATCAACAAAAACTTCAATATTAACCACCGAGTTCCAAATGTCCTTTGATCGCACCACCAACGTTAGTCAAATCTATCAAAAATGTATCATGCCCATACATAGAATCCAGCTCATAATAAGTGACATCTTTGTTTCCACCTCTTCTTAAACAATCAGCAATTTCTCTTTGCTGCCAATAAGCAAACAGGATATCAGATTGAACACCTAAAACTAATGTTGGTATTTGAATTCTAGAAAGTCCTTGAACAAGATCATCGAGATTATCACTACTTGTTAATGACAAAGAAGAGATGTGTTGTCTTTTTGAAGATGATGTTGACGATGATGCAGGTTGTGGAACAGGTATTTCTCGTGAGGTATTTGCATTAGCGTAGCATGATGATTCAGGAATAAATCCGTGAGTTTGTAGTTTCTCTATATTAATCTCTCGTTGTCTATTGAGAGTCTCCAATGTTGAAGAGGACATATCAAAAAGGTCCATTGCTTTGGATATATAAAGAAGTGAATTTGGATCGTATTGCAGGCAGAAGCGCTCACCCTGTATAATGGTAATAAATAATCCTTAAAAATCAAACTTTTTTTTTTTTAAAAAAAAAAATATATAATAACAAACATACCTGATAATCAAGGTAAGTTTCTATCAAAAAATCAGGACAAAGGGCAGGCGGTTGATCCTCTCGCTCGCGTTTTCTACCAAACCGCTGTTCCCATTCAGGCCCTGATCGGTAGCTATAATGTGATATTAGTAATAAATCAAATATTAAAACCAAATTTAAGTATATGCGACAAGTTTATAATACCTAATAGTAGCAATTTCACGAGCCAACTGAAATTTCAACAAATAAAAAAAAGTTAGAAAAGGACACGCTCATAAAATAATGCAAAAAAAAAAGAAAAGAAAAAAAAATTACCTTCATTCCTATATGTGGAGGTATAGATTTATAATAAAATCCTTTGTTCCAATTAGGATCTGACATCAATACTGTTTGTATAATATAAAAAATAAATATTTATGAAGCATATAAAATGAAGTTGATTCATAACAAAGTGTTGTATACCTTGTCGTTGTGTATGTCTAATTGCAATAGAATATGGATGTGATCTCGCACATCCAGATATGCTAACTATGCGAGACATACGTTCGGGATACAGCCATGCGGATGCTAATGACTAATAAAAAAAAAAAAATTTATTACACTAGTAATATTAATTTATAATGATATTCGTATATAAAAACATATACCTGCATTCCACCCATGCTGCTTCCTACAACGGCATGCAGTTTATTTATTCCTAAATGATCTAATAGTAAAAACTGTGCCCTAACCATATCAAATATTGTTAAAATAGGAAATCTAGTTGCATATCGTTCGCCATCTGATGGATCAATTGAGGAAGGACCAGTTGATCCATAACAACCTCCAATCACATTGGTACAAATAACAAAAAATTTGTTCGTGTCAATAGAGAGACCAGGACCTAAAAATAAAGGGATCAATTTGTCAAAAAAACGAACAAGATATGATGAATGATGATAAGTACAAGAAATCAATATTCACCAATGAATCGTTCCCACCATCCTGGATTAACATTTTTTTCATGACTTTTAGCGTGACTACTTCCAGATAAGCCAGTTTGAATTAAAATCGCGTTATCCTTATTTTCGTTCAATTCACCCCA